TTATTATTACCCCCATCAACTTTTTTCACATAGCTTCTTCGATTTTCAGCTGTTCAAAAATCTTTTATTAATGTCATTTTTCATTTCATTAATTTTTTTTTTTTTTCCATTTTTCTTTCTTTTTTTCATTTCATCATTTTTCTTTTGTCTTCTGTTTTCTTATTTATTACATCCTTTCTTTTTTCCATTTGGTTTCCTTTACCCCCCATTTAACATCCATGACATTACACTATTCACCTGACAGCAATGGTCAATCACTGGTTAATTGATCAATTAGACTCACGTTCCCTATATATTCACCTCTGTTCATCCACCTCCTCCTGCTTGAAAAAGGAGTGCACTTCCACCTTCCACGGCCAGTGCATGCTCCGAAATGCGTCGCAGTGCACCCTGGGATCTGACGTCATCACGGCCACGCCTCCGCTACGTTGCAGCGTGTGTTCCATCCGGCTCTGAGGGAGGACGTGCATGCCTGCCGGCCTCACCGCTGTTCCCCTCCAGCCACCATGCTGTTCCAGCTAAGACCTGACCTCCCCACATCGCAGTAAGATGACGTTAACTATTGTTAACCACGGCTCTTCACCGGGTTACACCCCCACCGTTAACTATTGGAAGCCTTGTCCTCAGTGCCACACGGAATCCTACGCTCTTCATACAGTAGCCACTAATATCACGATCACCCCATACTACCATTTCCCAGGACTTTGCAGTGTTTGCACTGTTACAACCCTTCCTCGTTTTTTCTGAATCCTTTCTGTACAGAGAAAGCGGAAACTCGGCAATATCAGCAATAACACTATGATGTTTGAATAATCGTCGGTATACCACTGTCACCGCAGGCAGAGATATACCACAGTTTAAAAACACACACACAGTAGTGCTTTTCAGAGGCAGGGATTCTTCGTTTGCATTAAAGAGCTTTAGAAACAGTTCAACACTTTCAGAAAGTAAGATTTATTACTAAAAGGTCAAAAGGGGTGCAATAAAAATATTTACAGAAAAAGATGTAGCCTATATATCCAAATATACAGAGAACAATAGCACAGCAAAGAGATAACACAAAGAAGTTTAGAGGGATAAAGTACTTGCCGTCAGCCTTGGGTTAAGCAGATCAGGTTTCAGAGACAAAAGGGTCTTATCTCCCAAAGTTAGTTTCCGATGTTAAAAAGGAAGATTCTTCAACTTTGCTCAACTCGGCTCAGCTCTACTTCAAGCACCACAGCCTTTATCTAGGAACTCAGCAGGGTGTCTCCCTGAAGCAGAGAACCAATCGCCTCATTTGGGGAGGGGGTTGTGTAGGCAGGGAGCTCAGGCTATGACCAAAGCCTTCATAAATTATACTATGGCCAATAACTTTTCCTAGGTACAAATAACATTCTATCCATGAGTAGATTAATACCCAGAATCTTCTGTGAAACGTCTACATATGAAATATGAGATACCTGTTTGGATGGTTAAAGAGATATAATTTTCTGCTCTCCTGTATATGCCAGCTAGGGGCTGTAATATACCAGGTGACTTGTCTTTAAGTGAGCCATCCGAATATGTGCTCCATGTTTGTGTAATTATTTCCTATTTGGAGATATAAAATTATATGGAAAACTGGGTTTTAAAATGTAAGTCTGTTTTACGACTACCTGGCATGTCTTTTGAAGCTCCGTGAGGGCTTGGTTCATGGTCTTACGATATCCCAGATTGTGAGCTAACAGGCATCTAGGCACCAGCTCGGCTGGGGGTTTTATAGCCATGACGCCCTCCCAATGAGTTTGCTGCCTGTGATCTTTGCAACAGACCACATGTCAATCAACAGAGAGGGAGGGGGGATGTCGGAGGAATCTAATTTGGGAGAGAGAGATACAATATGGAGGGGTTTGCAGCAAAATGGATGACTGTGTCCTTCTCTGTGTACATGATTGCTACAGCAAGTTTTTCCTCTGATCACAGGGTCAGGAACTGCACTGATATTCGCTCAAGGTCCTGAGGCAACAGGCTGCATTTAAGCAAACTGCCCAGCTTTGACTCACATGTCCAACATGCAGCTGGAGCTTCACTTACAGACAGGGCTTCCAAGGTTACTCCTATAGTAATCATTGCCCAAACCCACACAGACACCACCTGTATGGATGCTGATCTTAGACCACCTTCCCACATTCCCGGATCATAGTCCAAATTAACCACTTTCCCCTGGAGTACTCCTTATGCAGGCCTGCAATTTAACACGGTCCATATTAGGGCTCTGGGATTCCAAATGAACACTCAGGGCTCATATCACCTGGCATGTGTCAGGGCCCTGGGTCACCTGGCACATATTCCATGAGTTACTTAACACCAAATGACATAAGGGTGGCTCGTTTTCTCTAATCATCACCTGCTCCTGAGAAAATCAAGTTTGCACAAGTAATTACATTTACTCTTCTTCTCAAATCAAGCTGGCTGAGGTGGAGAGTGTGACACCAGTGCCCTGACTTCTCATCTACTCCAATCAGAGAATGCTGTGCATTCTTTCAGTAAAAGTAAATGCAAAGCATGCTCTTAATGACACCCATGCTGAGAGGCCAACCTCCTGCATTCAGAATGCAGTAGCGGTGATTACTTCAGTGATTTCCAGCTTCCAGGTAGATCGATCGAGTATGGTATATACACATAGGTGTTGATTTACTATAACTGTAGAGTGCAAAACCTGCTGAACCTGTTCATGCTTGTAACTTCAGCTTGTTCACTTAAATTTTCCCCCCAAAAAATGGAAGCTGATTGGTTTCTATACAGAGCTGCACCAGATTTTGCACTCTCCAATTTTTGTAAAACAGCCCCATAGTTGCATTGATTCAAGCTGGACCAATGTAACTTTGTAAAGATATACCACGCCTAGAACTCATCTTTAAGTTATATAATGATTACAAACATGTCTCTACAATGGTGTTGCACTCCATTACACGTGCCCTAAATTTTCCCCTCCTAAACATTGCGATAATGGTGCATACCATGAATTGGTCCATATCCTGCCTGTACTAATGTAACCGCCCCATTGTCTACACAGGAGGGGGTGCTGTGGTGCTACTCACTAAGCAGAGTTCCCCCAGTTTTCTCTCCAACTACATGGTTTCATTTCCTCGAGCCCCCAGAGGGTGTGTTTCCTCTTATCACTCAATACTCTTGTCTTGCTGAAGACCAATTACCTCAATTAGCTCTTCCCACTATATTTACAGAGCTGACTAGAATAGGACACACTTCCTAAGGGTAGTGGTCACACTTTAAAGGGCAACACTTGCCTACATGCAGTTGAATGTCCCTACTGGGGCATTAAGTTATAGTACAGCAGGAACTAACAATTCCCTGCTGCAGGAAACATTCTGGGTAAACATGTGGGCATCAAGAGGTTAACATCATGCTGATGATTTGCTGAGTGGTCAGAGGATAAAAAAGAAGACATTGAAAAAAATATTTTGATCTCTAATGCTTAGGGTAATAAATCTATTAGTTTATAGTCTTTCATAAACTTTATGAGGCATTGTAATTCTGATATTTCATTTTTATGGCAAACAGTGTAATGAAAAAAGAAGAGTCATGTATGAGACATTAATCAAAGCTTATGACAAACACCACACAATGAATAGGTTCTGGCTCAATGTAAAGCAGTTCTCATTTAATTACACATCTAATTTAATTGCATTCATCAAATCTAGGGGATGTGATTATGTTTAACTAAACATCACCCACATATTAAGTAGATATGTAGAGAAAACGGCTCTGCTGAATTAATAATTTAACAACAGCCTTAGTTTACACAACAAAGTAATCTCACATTCCCTTTACAAATTGAACCTGCGAACAACCTCAAGTCATACAACAATAAAAACCAAATTTGTACTCAGCAAATATATTCTGAAATTAAAACAAGTATCAGCAACACAGGGCTTCGTTTTAAGGAATGTCTTAAATAAGAATTGTCTGTGTTGCTCTCTACAGGTTTGCAGGATGTAAGTTTTTTTTTCTCTTTAAGCTATGATCCAGCAAAGAGCCAGAAAAACCCAAAACCTATCCTTTTTTTTCAAGCAGGAATGTTGATCAGTCTGGACATCATACAAAGTTCTGATTTGATAAGAACCAGTCACAACTTGGATTATGCAAAAATTCTGAATAATCAGTCTTTATTACAACTCTAGACTTACTGTTGAAAGATTCAAATTTGCTCAGTTATTTAGTATATTTATTTATTTACTTTGCCTACGACGACTCCACAGCATAAGTCAAGAAGTGAAAGGTCCATAGAAATCGTATCCTGGGCATACACTGTTAGAATTTAATTTAAACATTTTTGTTTTAAGAACAATAATTCATTTTAAAAATGGTTAGTGGTCACTTCAAAGTTTGTTTTTAATTACAGTTTCAAAAGGAGCAGGATGAAACATGTTGAACAAACAACTTTCTAACAGTGAATGTGGTTTTTGTTCAGGAAAGTCCATTCACACCGAAATCGAATGTCAAAGAAAATTTTGTTTGAAGTACTTTTGAACAACATTCAACAAGTCATTCAATGTACTGGAAAATTTTGTTTGAACGGTCGTACAAACATTTGTTCGAAAATCTAATAGTATACTCCAGCTTTAGAGTTGCCACCCAATGAATTGCTTGATCTCATAATTAATGAGGGGCTGTACGTTCAACTTGAGCATTGCCCCGCACGCCCCACAATGCACTGCGCCCTGACAATGCTTTGGCCAATCACAGGGCATGATGACGTTACAAGAATTGTCATTTCAGCACAGCTGTCAGATCGCGGGATCCAGTGTCGAGCTCGCAGTGTTTTTTTGGGGGGTCGAGTAAGCAGTGGCGGCGGGCATCATAATTGACGTTGGATTTACTTCGGGGACATTTTTATTTTTAATAAAGGACTTGTCAAAGACTGTCTACTGTCATCTTTTACACTACACTTTTTTTTTTGTGAATGGATAACAGTACCATGTATCGTATGCTCTTTCACATAGGGAGAGGCCGGGACCCTTCCAGATTCTGATAAGCCCCCCCGCCCGCAGACCCCCACAACCACCGGCCAGGGTTGTGGGGGAAAAGGCCATTGTCCCAATCAACATGGGGACAAGGTGCTTTGGGGGAGCCCCCCTGCCCCAAAGCACCCCCCATGTTGAGGGCATGTGGCCTTGTATGTTTCAGGAGGGAGGGTGGTGCTCGCTCAACCCCCCCCCCCCTTCCTGACCTGCCAGGCTGCATGCTCGGATACGGGTTTGGTATGGATTTTGGGAGGGACACTCATGACATTTTTTTTTTAATTTTGGCATGGAGGGTTACCTTCAAAATCCATACCAGACTCGAAGGGCTTGGTATGGATGGGAGGGGGGGGGACCACATGCCATTTTTTTTTTTAGTTGTCGGGCAATGTTGACAATTCTTTTGACATTCAGCTGTCATCAGGAAAACCCGCTGACAACTGAAACAATAATGAATGTTTCACTACTAAAATATTGCATGACTTAATAATAAAAGTCATACGGTATTTTAGTAACTGAGCGGTATCTTACCGCATACTCAGATGCAGTAAGATATCACTCAGTAAACTGTCCCTGTTCAAAGTTTGCGATCAAACTTTTTTGGTATGTTAGAATGTTCGACCGCGAATCAAACAGGGGGGTGTTCAACCCATCACTACAATCTCATATGCTGGTTGATGGATGCTGAATGAGTGAACAAATGAGTGTAAGGTCAAGTTATGCATGGCTTAGGTAACAGTCTGAATACACAGTCTTCAATTATGCTACATTTAAAGACTTACATATGAAAGATTAATATTTTCTCATGTTCAAGCTCACTCTAATTTGTACACATATTCAAAAAGGCTGAAAATAGCTGACTAATGAGGGTTGCCTAGGGTGAATAATGGTGAGGCTAAAGAGTCCCTGTTACACATTTTGGCCTGCGTCCTGATCTTGATCCCCCCCTTTACTGGGTCTACTCTTTTCATCCTTTCTTTACTGCCCTCCACAAAGACCTCTTTTTTAATGCAGATCATACCAAGCAGGCAGATCCTGGTCCCATCCTTCACAACAGAGCTATACAGGAAACTATTGATGTTTAGTGTAGACTGCAGTGAAACTTTCCCATACATGCCATTTATTGGTTCTGTGATCTATGATGTCACATGAACAAGTACAGGGTATGCATGGGAAGCATCAATGCCTGCATTTAACCGACATTTGGCCACCTTCTGACCTGCATTTGACCTCCTTCAATGGGAAGAAAAGCAAGTTTCGACAAAAAAAGCCATAAGACACATTGGGGTAGATTTACTAAAACTGGTGCATTCAGTATCTGGTGCAGCTGTGCATGGTAGCCAATCAGTTTATAACTTCAGACATTAAAACATGAAAGTTTATTGGTTTTTATGCAAAGTTGCAACGGAGTGTACTCTTCCATTTTAGTAAATAACCCCAATTTTGTAACTAGAGCAAGATAATTTTAAAGCCATCAGGGGAAAATACCTATATAACAAAGGCAAATAAAAAAACCCCCATAAATGACTATGATAATAACTAATAATAACTAAAAATCATCAAAGGAAAATAGCCACGTTAACAAACAAGGCCCTCTGCTTTTTTAGTTATAATGCTTTCAAACAATTTCTCCTGATTCATCTTCACTAAGTAGGTTACATTTTTTTTTCTATAATAATTCCTTTTCCTTTACCCCAGAAAGCAAGCATTGTTATCCACGTGTATTTCCACATTGTTCAGTTGTAGGACCAAAGCTTAAACCTGTTTTAAGCCTTTGTCCACAACAAAGGATAAATGCTCCAGGTCATGGTGGTTTTCCTGTATAGCACATAGGGAAGATTATTGTATGTGTGTACTGCATACAACAGAATGTACAATGAATGCACTTGTAAAAAAAAAAAAAGTCTCTACAGAAAATTATATAATTGGATTCATTATTTCCAATGTAATAGCGCATTTATTCTTTTACTATAGTCGCGGCTACTATGTGGCTTGATTCCACTGCTTTGACTAATTGTAGATGAAATAAGGTGCCTGTTGTTTTTATTTCTCTCCACAGCTGCGTATATGAAAGCAATTTCGCTGTAGATGACACGGAGGGGACTTTGGCATATGGAAAAAAGGCATTATTTGGATATAACGTTTCCTGAGAAACTCACTGAAATATCCCCTGTGGAGCTTCTGTTTGTAAGAAGTCTCAAAGGTTGGGAAGATAAGAAAGAATTACTTTTATAAAGATGGCTTGTGCTTAGCTCTGCTACTAACTTACAAAAACACTCAACCCAGAAATATAAAATCTGTTCAACAAATTTTTCCAGTTTTGGAAACAAAAAAATTTCACTTGAGTCTAACTAAGTCCCATAAAAACCTGCAATAATTATATAGATAGATGTCTTTGAATATAAATATTGATCATAACCCAGCCTAAATGGCAAATATATTGCATAGGAACAAAGAAAAATTATAGCCAAACTAGTCATTTTAATACTTAGGATTCTACAAGTTTTGTCTTATAGCAATGCAAGCATTGATCTCATTATATAAAAGTTCCCTATAAAGCCATGTAGTGCAGGCGACAGTTGTATGTTATCAGTCAGGTCACAGTAAGGACAGGCTAGGGCAGAGGCCATTTTCTGAGTTGTCTAACAATTTTTGGAAATATAACAGGAAGTGATCCATCTATAGTAAAATAATGCCTTTATTTGCTGCTAAATATCTTCAGTTTTAACACATTCCTGAATTCAAATGTTTATGTGTTAACACACTCTTTTTATTGTGACAGACTCTGAGTTCCATGGAACTCCAACCTAATGCATTTGTGTTACATTGGTTTGGTAGACTTGAATGGTTCCTTTTGCTTTCACCATTACATTAGCTTTCAGAATGTAGATATCAATATTTAGGGTATTTTGGGCATGTAAAACTTGCAAATTACTGTCAGGAAACTTTCTCGCAGTGCTTTACACTTGCAAGAATACCCCATAGATTCCTGATACTCTAATGTAAAAGCTCTTCCCATGGTTTTTCATAAAGAAAGAAGGAGGAAAATTTTACTACAAGTGATCACAAACTTAATTAATAATTAAAATCTCATAGTATTGTTGTAGAAATCACTGAAACACAAAAAGCTTCTTTTTTTTACCCTAATGCCAATGTAAAGACTTATGTGATATCTCTTGATGCGTACATGTTCTACCTTCCACTGGATTTATACTGTCCCCTAAGCACAGATGCCACTGTCCACTACTTTGATGTCTTCTTCCTACAATGTGCTCTCCTGGCATGCATCCATTTCTTGACTTTGTCTAGAGTAGCAAGACACTGCTTCTCTACATTCTGCATCCTTCAGTAAGCATGTTCCCCTGCCTTCACTGTATAATCAGTGCGTGCCCTATCCAGATGTTCAGGGGAATGGCACTCCTGGCCAGGAGTGAGCAGTTGTGATAGGGGATTTAAAGTGAGTAAAGAACCAGCAAACACAAATGCTCCTGCGCTTGGGGATGGACTCGATGCTACAACCACATTAAGAATGTCCTGGAACATGCACACCTTGCTGCCCTCAAATGGACCGGGGGAATCCAAATATACTGAATGGGGAAAGAACAAAAAGAGGGCGCACAGGCCTAGTGCATTACCATAAAAAATGTTTAATAAAAAATAATAAAGTAGGTGTTGTACTCACAAACGACAATATAGTCAAGGCACATCATAAAAGAACAGCTGGATCAACACCGCGCTGAGTAACAGTCCGCAATAGGGAGTTTAGACATCCAAAACCATGACGCGTTTCGAGGACTTGCCTCTTCCTCAGAGCCCTGAGGAAGGCTCTGAGGAAGAGGCAAGTCCTCGAAACGCGTCAGAGTTTTGGATGTCTAAACTCCCTATTGCGGACTGTTACTCAGCGCGGTGTTGATCCAGCTGTTCTTTTATGATGTGCCTTGACTATATTGTCGTTTGTGAGTACAACACCTACTTTATTATTTTTTATTAAACATTTTTTATGGTAATGCACTAGGCCTGTGCGCCCTCTTTTTGTTCTTTCCCGATTTAAAGTGAGTGTTTGGCCACATTGGAGCATGTACATACAGTATATTTGTGGCATGTTACATTACTTGATAGCAGTGAATTTACTAAAAGAAAACAAAAAAAAAATACATACTACATAGACTTAAGAGGTTTTGGAGGTCAAGCATAACTGCTACTTTCCCTGTTTACCAGCTGAGTGCTGATGTTGTATTCTTTAGAAAAAAAACAGCATTTTGTTTTCACTACATCTATTCTTTTTGGTTTTCTTTATTTGCAGTTTTAGCTTGTGGAAGATTTATTAGCTTTGCAGAAAAGAAATACAATACCTATCATTTGGGTCTTTTTCTAGGGCCCTTTTCCTATTTAAACTATAACCCTGTTAATTTTAGTTCCACCAAACAGTGTAAAACTTTAGGAACATTAAAGTGTTACTAAACCCAGGAGCATTCAGTCACTCTATCTGGTCTCCCACAGTAAACAGAACATTGAAGTGCAATTATTTTAGTAAATATAAACTGCTAAATACCTTTTTCTCATCAGCAGTTAGAGCAGTCTTGTGACTTCTATCAGTGTTCAGCAGAGCACTGGTTAAAGCTTGTAGGAGAAGTGTTCTTTTCTGCTCTAGGAGGATGCAGAACCCCTGACCTCTGTCTGGACAGTGCTGGTTGGTCCTGTGCTGATCACATTCAGTCTACCATGGATAGTTTTACATTGCTGTATCGTCTGCAATATTTTAATCTGGGTAGTAAATCATTTGCCTGTGCTCTTTCTCTCTAGTAAATTTGACCTAGCTTTGTGTCATCTGCAGACACTTAGAGTGTTACTGAATTCAGGACCCTGCATTCACAATATCTGGTCTGGAACACATGGAAATGCAATTTCTTTAGTAAATACAAACTGCTAAATACCTTTTAATCAGTATTTAGAGCAGCCTTGTGACTTCTATCAGTGTCCAGCCGAGCACATGTTAAAGCTTGTAGTAGTTTTCATTCGGCTCTAGGAATATGTAGGACCCCTGACCTCTGTCTGGACAGTAATGATTGGCCCAGCACTTGGCCTGATCACATGCACTCTCCCAAGAAAAAAAAAACAACCTCTCTAGTAATATACACCAACTGAGCATGTGCAGAGTGACTCCACACAATATGTCTTATCAGGAGACAAGAGGGGTGCACTGGAAGAAAGGGAGGATCAAAGAAGTCATGATCAAACAGCATTTGTACACAATGACGGGGATATCTATATACAGACTTATTTTACTGTTGTGGGTTTAGTAACACTTTAACTATGACTTACCCCATGAAAAATACACATCCCTACACA